GTGTCCTCCCCTCTGCTCCTCCTTTCCCTACCCCTGATGTGAAAGCCAAGCTGACACCCGGGGTCAGGAATTACTGACACTCACAGCCACCAGCTCCGAGTTTTAATCCCAAATAAAGATTAATTGCAGCCAGAGTCAGTGAGCTGCTCACGTGCCACCAAGTTGTTTTWGTTTAAAGCAGACAGAGTTAACCCGTGGATTGTCTCTTAGGCAGTTTGAGCCCATTGAGGCTGAGCAGTGAAAATCCATTTTGCTGCATTTATTGAGTATTTACATTACTGGTTTTTTTAGCAGAAGTAACCCTGACTCTTTTCCCCGTGAGTGGAATTGTCTCTTTTAGGCAGTTTGAGCTTTTGGCCCATTGAGGCTGAGCAGTAAAAATCCATTTTGCTGCATTTATTGAGTATTAACATTACTGTTTTTTTTAGCGAAGTGACCCCGACTATTTTCCCCATGAATCCTCAGCTGTGGGATCACGACTCGGAGGGTGCCCCGGGTGTGTCCAGCTCAGTTTTGGTGTTTGTCTCGGGCACCCCTGGTGTGTCCAGCTCAGTTTTGGTGTTTGTTGTGTCCAGCTCAGTTTTGGTGTTTGGTGTGTCCAGCTCAGTTTTGGTGTTTGTTGTGTCCAGCTCAGTTTTGGTGTTTGTCTCGGCTGTCCCCAGGCGTGTCCAGCTCAGTTTTGGTGTTTGTCTCGGCTGTCCCCAGGCGTGTCCAGCTCAGTTTTGGTGTTTGGCGTGTCCAGCTCAGTTTTGGTGTTTGTTGTGTCCAGCTCAGTTTTGGTGTTTGTCTCAGCTGCTCCTGGCGTGTCCAGCTCAGTTTTGGTGTTTGTCTCGGCCGCCCCGTGCAGTCCCCGGTGCAGCACTCTCCGCACGAAGGGCTTGCACAGGAGCAGGTAGATGAGCGGGTCGGCGCAGACGTTGGTGGCCGCCAGCCACAGCGTGCTCTCCTTGGCCACGAAGAGGCGGCTCCGCAGGCGGCACTCCATGTGSGCGCTGGTCTGGCTCAGCGTGTAGGGCACGCGGCTGAAGTGGAACGGCGCGAAGCACGAGAAGAAGACGGTGAAAACAATGAACACCTTGCCCTTGATGCGCTTCTCGCCGCGGTCGCCCTTCCGCTGCGTCCTCACGTAGGACTCGTAGACCTTCTTGGCGATGACGGTGTAGAAGAGCAGCATGAGGAGCAGCACGCTCCAGAAGACCAACTGGCAGATGTAGTTGACGGCCTCGTGCCAGCGCAGCCCCAGGGGGCTCTTGAGGGACGCGCATTTCCTGACGGTCAGCGGCRTGGCCGCGCGGTCGGACAGCACCGCGTTGGGCAGCGACAGCGCCAGGAAGAAGAGCCAGACCAGGCAGGCCAGGATCTTGGCCGAGCTCGGCTTCTGCACCCAGAACCTCCCGAARGGCCTGACGATCTTGAGGAACCTGTCGAGCGCCACGAGCCCCAGCAGCACGATGCTGATGTACATGGCGGCGTAGAAGAGCACGGCCGAGAAGCGGCACACGACGGCTCTGAGCTGCCACGGCGCCAGCCCCGCGTCCGTCACGATCTTCAGCGGCAGCATCAGCGTCATGAGGAGATCGGCCAGCACGATGTTCTTGAGGTAGACGATGAAGGTGGACGTGCTGGGGATGTGGCAGAAAGCCCAGCAGGCCAGGCTGTTGAGCGCCAGCCCCAGCAGGAAAACSAGCGAGTAGAGCGCGGGGAAGAGCAGGCGGGGGACGGCGCTGTCGCGGTGGCACGGTGGCACCAGGCTGCCGTTACCCACGGTGCTGGCGTTGGTGGAATCTCCCATCGCCTCCTTTTTGGGATCTAAACGGGGGAGAGAGCACAAAACATCACCTTCTGCATGTAAAATTACACATTTCTTACAACATCATCTATAAACGTAACAAAACCAGAGTCTCCCATTGCCTCCTTTTTGGAATCTAAACGGGGGAGAGAGAACAAAACGTCACCTTCTGCGTGTAAAATTACACATTTCTTACAGTGATAGCAATAAATGTAACAAAACCAGAGTCTCCCATTGCCTCCTTTTTGGGATCAAAAGGGGGGAAAGAGCACAAAACATCACCAGAGTCCCCCATTGTGGAAACAGACTGGGATCAAAAGGGGAGAGAGCACAAAACATCACATTCTGCCTGTAAAATTACACATTTCTTACAGTGACCGCAATAAACGTAACAAAACCCAAGCGTGACTTAAACTGAACAACCGATTTCTCTTCTGGTTCATGGAAAAGCTAAATCTTTGCCCAAAGTTAAAATGTTTCCAGCATTTACGGAAAAGTTTAAAGGGTTCCTCCTTAATCTGGAGCCTAAAGTAACGCCCCAGCGGGGTTTACTGGGAGCAGATCACCTGCAGCACCGCCGCTCCTTCCATGGAAATGCATTTTACCGTTTTAACAGAAATACCAAACCCGCAGCACGACAGCTCTGGGGAAGGAAGCGCCTTCTGCCCATTCCTCCCCAGCACCCCGGGATGAATTTTTTTGTTTTTCAGGAGAGTTTTATGTGGTATTTCCAGAGGAAATGCATTCCCCCTGCCCGAGGGTCCCCTCCACCCTGAGCAGGGACCCGGACAAACCTCGGTGMGCGTCCCCTCGGATCCACAGCGGAGCCTCCAGCAGAGCCCTCGGAATGGGGAAATGAGGGAAGATGAGACCCTTTTCTTCTTTTTCTGCRTTTCCTTCCTCATTTCGTGCGGCGCCACAGTTGGTCATGAGTGCTGCTGCTGCTCCGGCTGTTCCTGTGCTGTGTGTGAGAAAAGCAGAAAAGCAGAAAAGTAGAAAAGTAGAAAACAACTAGAAAATGAGAAAACTAGAAAACTAGAAAACTGGAAAACCAGAAAGCTAGAAAACTAGAAAAGTAGAAAATGAGAAAACAAGAAAACTAGAAAAGTAGAAAACCAGAAAACTAGAAAACTGGAAAACTGGAAAACTAGAAAACAACTAGGAAAGTAGAAAACTAGAAAAGTAGAGAAGGAGAAAACGAGAAAACGAGAAAACTAGAAAATGAGAAAATGAGAAAACTGGGAAACTGGAAAACTAGAATACTAGAAAATGAGAAAACAAGAAAACTACAAAACTAGTAAAGGAAACCTGAGCCCGTCCCTTGAGACAGACCCATTTCTGGGTTTTGTCCCTCACATTTTTTGGTTTTTTCCCTCCAGACAGACCCATTTCGGGGTTTTGTGTGTGCGTGGCACAGACCTGCAGCGGTCCCATGTGAGACTTTTGGGTTTTCTCCCAAAATGAGCTCTTGGTACTGCTCCCAGCTGTCACAGGCAGCAGGTGCCGGGTACCCCTGTGTCCCCATCAGTGGTGGCTTTGGGGACAGGAGTGGGGACAGGAATGGGGACAGGAGTGGCTTTGGGAACATGAGTAGGGACAGGAGTGGGGACAGGAATGGTTGTGGAGGACACAGGAGTGGCTTTGGGGACAGCAGTGGCCATGATCACTGCTCTCTGGACATTTACCTGGTCAGGGAAAGCATCTGCCAGGTGATTGTCACTCTGTTTGTGACTCAGAAAAATGGGCAGAAATGTGCAGAAAAATGTGCAGAAATGGGCAGAAAAATGTGCAGAAATGTGCAGAAAAATGGGCAGAAAAATGTGCAGAAATGTGCAGAAAAATGTGCAGAAAAATGTGCAGAAATGGGAAGAAATGTGCAGAAAAATGTGAAGAAATGGGCAGAAAAATGTGCAAAAAAATGTACAGAAATGTGCAGAAATGGGCAGAAAAATGTACAGAAATGTGCAGAAAAATGTGCAGAAATGTGCAGAGATGGGTGGAAATGTGCAGAAATGTGTGGAAAAATGTGTGTGGGACATTTGTCCTTCATTAATGGGAACTGATCTGGGGTCTGTGGGCTGTGGGGACAGCTCTGGGGTCACTGGGCACTGTTTGTAGGGGAATTCTGGTGCCACAAAACCATTTGTGGAGGGGATAATTAATTAATTAAATCATTCGTTCATTCATTCATTCATTCATTCATTCATTCGTTCATTCATCTGAGATGCACAAACCCCTTGGAGCTGTTTGCAGCTGAGAAACGCTCCAAAATTTATTCCCACAATCTTTTTTTTTGTGTGCAACTCTTGTGATTCCTGAAAATATCACGTGTTGAAAATATTTTTTTTCCCAAGTTTTCCAAATGCAAAAAGAAAAGTGGTTGAATATTTTATATATTTTAAAAAGCTGCCCTGTGATACCTGAAAATATCATGTGTTGAAAATACTTCCCTGTTTTTTTTTGTTGTTTTTTTTTTTTTTTAAGTTTTCCAAACGCAAAAAGGAAAGTGGTTGATTATTTTGTACAGTCCAAAAAGCTGCCCTTAATTAATCATAGTAAAGATGTGACACGAGCCTGTGTGCCCCCAAGATCTGTAAATTTCTAATATATTATATTATAGATATTTCTAATATATTATATTATAGATATTTCTAATATATTATATTATAGATATTTCTAATATATTATATTATAGATATTTCTAATATGTATATAATATATTATATTGTTAGGTGAAAGTGTGCAGTTTTATTCATATAATAAGAGGCAGGATTGGGGGGTTTAATTCATAACAAAATAAACCAGATTGTGAAATAATTTCCTCTGGCACACGACTGTTAATTGTTGGTCAATGGATTAGGAATGGCAGGCATGGAATGAGATAAAAAAAGTGTTATTGTGTTATTCTGTTAACCAAATCTACACAAACAAATGTCTCCTTTACATTTGGCCCAGGTTTTTGTTTTTCTGCCATTCAAAGTGGCAAATCCCTGTATTGAAAAATCATATTTACTGTGGATTTTATCAGCGTTTCTCACACCTTGTGTGGTTACAGAGTTTACTTTGGCTGAAATTCAGCTATTTCTGCAAAATCTTTACAGTCCACGGCATCATCTGCAGCATTTCGTGATTCTGTTTTATGTTTTTCCTCACAGTTCCACACAGTTTTCCTCACAGGAATTCTGTTTTTCCTCGAGGTGGTTCTGTTTTTCCTCGAGGTGGTTCTGTTTTTCCTTCCAGTAATTCTGTTTTTCCCCCCAAAGGTTCATTTTTTCCTCCCAGAGGTTCTGTTTTTCCTCCCAAAGGTTCTTTTTTTCCTCCCAGTAACTCTATTTTAATGTTCTCGCTATTCTCCACGGGTTTGTGCTCATTCTGCCCTCAATAATCAGCAATAATTGGCGATAATTGTCAATAATTGTCAATAATTGGCGATAATCACCAATAATCGGTGATAACCGGCAATAATTGGTGATAATTGGCAATAATTGGCAATAATCACCAATAATCGGTAATAATTGGCGACAATCGGCAATAATTGTCAATAGTTGTCAATAATTGGTGATAATCACCAATAATCGGCAATAACCTGCAATAATTGGCAATGACCGGCAATAATTGGCAATAATCGGCAATAATTGTCAATAATTGGCAATAATTGGCAATAATCAGCAATAATCTGCAATAATCTGTGATAATCACCAATAATCGGCAATAATTGACGATAATCGGCAAGAACCGGCAATAATGACCAATAATTGTCAATAATTGTCAATAATTGGTGATAATCACCAATAATCAGCGATAATCCGGATTAATCGGCGATAACCGGCAATAATTGTCAATAATTGTCAATAATTGTCAATAATTGACGATAACCAGCAATAATCACCAATAATTGGCGATAATCGGCAATAATTGTCAATAATTGTCAATAATTGGCAATAACCAGCAATAATCACCAATAATTGGCAATAATTGGCAATAATCGGTGATAACCAGCAATAATCACCAATAATTGTCAATGATCACCCATAACCGTTGGGTGCAGCCCTAGAGCGGGGTCTGCTCGGTGTCATCGCCCCCGTGGTGCCCCTCGCCCCGCGTCCCCAGCCCCGGCGTTGCCCGGTGGCCGCACAGCGTGTCCAGCAGCGATCTGCGGAAGGATTTGCACAGGAAGAAGTAGATGAAGGGGTCGAGGCAGGCGTTGAGGGACGTGAGCCACAGCGTGCTCTCCTTGAGCAGGAACAGCGCGCTGCGGGCGCGGCAGTCGAACGCGCCGCGGGTCTGGCTCAGCGTGTASGGCACGCGGGTGAAGTGGAAGGGCGCGAAGCAAACGAAGAAGACGGCGATGACGATGAAGACCTTGAGGTTGACGGTTTTTTTGGCGGCGCGCCCCGCCCGCGTCCGGCGGTAG